ATGAAGACAACTAGTATAGCAGCAGCCTCTGCGTCAGTAGGCCTCAGCCTACACAAGGAAAACCAAAATCCTCAAGTACAACACGGAGAACACCAACCCTTTCAACTCTGGAAGAGATGGAAACTCACGTACCTGAATAGCGTCATCGTTGAACAAGGAGGATGTGACGCAAACGTAAGGGAGAGGATTGGCAAAGTAAGGGCCGCATTCCTACAGTTGAAGAACACACACAACTCAAAACAACTGTCAGGTAATATTAAAGTCACAATCCTCAATGAGAACGTCAAGATAGTTAGTCCTACTGTAAGGATTGAAACTTGGAAATCTACCACAGCCATAATCAAAAATATAGAATTTCTGAAAAATTACCTACGCAAGATATTCCTAATCCGTTGGCCACACGCCATCAGCAACAGTCTACTTTGGAAGAGAACAAACCAACTTCGAGCTGAGGAGGGAATTAGGATAATTCAAACATTGTTTTCCTCACTATATTTTAGTGATATACACAATCTTAAACTTTCAGCTCTTTCGAATCGCCTTCGCCCATACAGTCCTTTGTCTGTGCATCGCCATACTCTTAACTTGTTTACTTTAGCCTGTTTAAATATGCTTGCTTAAGAACTGATCTTATAAAAGGTTATAAGTCTAAGTAGTCAAATATAAAGCATTTCATCACAAATGACTAATTCTCAAGAGTTATAAACACCGAGTTCTCATCCTTCTCTTTCCCCCTCTATTTTTCAGCGCTCCCACGATATACCGCCGAAAACACACATTTGAAACTTATAACTCTGTCCTACACCTTTTAAACACATCCAATATTTGGGAACGCTATCATGACTCATAAAATAATATATAAATGTGGACCTTTTTAACTGAATGCTTATGCTCTGGACTTAACTTGCATCCATTATAGCCACCAGTTTCTCGTCACAACTCAACATCCATAAAGCGCACGGACTACTTTATTGAACACTCGAGTCTTACTAACATTCATATTTCAGTGTCCGATAACTTGTCCTGTTTCTATGATCAATTTTGGCATACTCGAATCCCGATTTCAAAGACTTCACTAGACACTCCTGCAACTTAGATGACAACCTCACTAAAGTACTGGGATCATGCGATTACGTGAGATCAGCAGCTTCACGAAGAAATAGTCAGAAAACGTTACGCTTAGAATTCATAAACCAAGGACAACTATTTGACAACTCAATCCCGACTCTTCCGGAAAAAGCATGACGCCGTCACACATTTCTATTTCTTTAACAAAATAAGTTAAAATGTCCTACTGACAATAACCGCTTAAATTTTAGAAGTTTGAAAACACCAGCTTTAAAGGACAATCCGCAGCAGGTAAACTGGAAAGCTTATCCTCAGCTTGATCTCGACGGTCACTGGGATTCCTTACTGCACACGATCTTACGTGATACAAACCAGTCTGTCCCAAAATTCACCCACGGTTAAAAGCAGCTTAAGATTATATAAGGTCGTACTCTTTGGATTCTAAGACTTAAAAAGTAATAATAAATGGAATATAAAACGACGGGTAATAGCAACACTTATAGGTACTTGACCAGAGCAAGGATCCATTGCACAAAGGTTCCAGGAGGAGTTAGGTTTCAGCTTCAGAACAAATTAATCAAAGAATTTGTCTTTGATATGAAAAGTTTCCTCTGTCATGCATTCTGTCTTTGAAAAGCCAAAGCCAAGGTTTCCTAGTTGTTAATCTTGAACGGATGGCGCGATCGACAACGACAGTGATGTCACAGAGCGCCTGGAAGAACAATATCTAATTAAGGACGCTCCTCCTTGACTCGATAGGGTTTCCTCTGCCGTACAGAGGGAGGCTTCTTCAACCTTGCTAACACTCTAGTTTATTGTTCTCAGATACTCCAAGTCAAGCCGCGGTTCCAGACAGTTGGAAGCTGGCACATATCAAAGTAATATTCAGGCGAAACTGGTGCGGTAAACCTTCAAACTACCGGCCGGTAGTACCTCTTTCAATACCCTCAAAGGCTAAGAAATGTTCGAAAAGTGATGATCTGCACGATCACTTTTTATCTATAAACATTTTTTGCCAAAACGACCCGGTTTCAGGAAGAGCCAATATGGTGAGTGCGATGGATAGATGGACAACCATTCTTAGACGCAAAGGGGAGGCACACACAATATGTCTCGACTTCTCAGAAGCTTATGATGAGGGGAATTATTGAGCTTAAGCTAAAAGATATTCACTCACGATTATCAGACTGACTTAATCCATATCTAAGTAATTAAAATTTTGAGGTCAGGATCAATTTTACTACCTAATACCTGTGGTCTCGCACGTACAGAGCCTGCAAACCACCACTCATTTAGGATAGCACAGGACATCATCAACACTACTTTAATGTGAGATCATTCTTGTTCATTTTTCATCAGTGTACCACTTTCAAGAGCACTTTATGACCTACCTTTAAGTCTCATTATCCATTGCTTTATTTCTAACTGCTGTATTTTTACATTTCCCGCCCACTTTGGTAAACATTTTCCCACCGTTCTATCTGCCGAAATGTTCATACTTAACTTGGAAAACTGAAATTTACACCATAGTCATTTAAAACATTGCACCGATACCTTACACACAGTCCATAACTTGTGACTGCCTGATAAGCTTGCGACACGGTACTTATAGAAGTGGTATTTTCCATTAGAATATGAAACAGAGAGCGACAGGTAGGTCGTAGTGCTTTATTGGACAATAAAATTAAGAGACCCTAGTGTTACAAGAGGAGAAAAGGTGGAGTTAATGACCAGCAGCCATCGATGGTGAGTGTAATGACTCCAGCCCACCCATGTCTGTGGGGAAAAACATTTGTTTGTTATGGGCTTTTTACGGCTCAGAACAAGGCAATCAGTCGGTTATTTTGTGGTTGTTCTCCTACACTCGCCACTTAGACACATATTTTCATTTTTATGCTGGTCATGCTATTATACATAGATAATGGAATTCAGGCATCTGTAGTATGACTTAGTGGCTACCATTTGACGAAAAATGGGAATAGTAGAGGAAAAAATAAACAATAAAAAATTAGGTTATTGGGGTTTCCAAACACTTCTCCATTCTGTCACGCTTTCGATGTTAACGAATAACCTTCATGATTTTAGCTCCAACTTTCCATCGTTTGAAGCCATTCCACCTTATTACTCGTCACAACCTTTTGTTCTATATCTGCGGACTCTGTAACTATGATTCATTCTAGTAATATCAGCTAGTGTGCGTTTTGTCTGATGATATACCATATATTCACCAGTTCCACCACGAACAGTTGAAAATTGTTGAGTGTTTAGACCCAAAACCCTCACTGCTCCTTTTTTCTCTTCTTCAGCATCACGTTCTCAGTGCACAGCTATAGAGCTAATTCTTACACCTGGAACAGACTTTGCGTAGGCATTTGCCAAGGTCACAGCTTGCGCTGAGCACCTATCACTAGTTACCTTATAACGACCGAAAACTTATTAAATAGACACACTGCATGAATAGTTAGTAGCACCATAATTTTAATTCTGGACTAGATTAGTGTTCGCCAAGATAGCAGCCTGAACGAGGTGACGTTTTTGAATAGGTCATAAAAACTATAAACTCATAGTACAGCACTATCGCATAAAATCAACTGTTAACTCGCTTGTATATCTGAACGAATATTCTGCGATTGATTCTTATTGATTTTATCTGTTTAATAACCCCACTTGAGTATTTCTTCTTCAACAAACCAATGCTGTTTATCGTTGATCGTGCCTTTAAGAATGGTGTGCATTTGCTGTGTCGGAAATATATTGTTATCATTGTTACTTTTTTCCGGATTACAGAATGTCCTAGCGTGACCCCCAGGGATCAGTACTGAGACATCCCTTTTGAATTCATATGGCCGATCTTCCTCAGAAAGTATTGTCTGACTCATTAATTTCTTCTGTGTGAACATTCGGAGAGATACTTACAATCAGGATGATAAGCTGGCACATCTATAGAATCTGACTAGTCTTCAAAGATGGGCGGATAACGGACTTATTTCCAACACTTCAAAGTGTAATGCAGTTCATCCGAGACATGTTACAGACTACGCATACAAATTAGGTAACCCATCACTAGAGGAATCCCAAGTTGAAAAACATCTAGTAGTATTAATACCCAACGATCTGAAGTCTTGGGCGAATTGCGACAAAATACCTTTCAAGTAAACCTTGCACCGGTTACGTTGGAGCTCATTATTGATCAGTTCGACGACAGAACTTTTAAGTTAACCTTTAAAAGTTTTACTCTACCCTATTTAGAGTATGAAAACATGGTATTTCCTCCCCTACTCCGAAGAGGCAGGAACACATTGGAACGTGTCCAAAGACGAGCCACGAAATCAGTTCGGGGACTCAAATTCACTGAAACTTTGCCCACAGGAGTATAGGCGTCTCACAGCTGACCTAATGACATACAGCACCCCAAACACTTCTGGGCATCTCCTTAAATACGTACTTAAACTCAGTCCCAACACAAATTTTAGGGGTAACATCCAGACACTGTAGACACAACATAACAGAACGGACTGTAGGCACAGCTTCCACTCCTTAAAAACAGTCAAATGCTGGAATTTTTTTGCCAGATAAGCTAGTCCAAGACACTATACAGAAGTCCTTTAAGGGAAAATTTGACTTGTTCTTAAGGACTAAGGACAGTACCTTACTATGATTTACCAACATTTTTCCTTTTCCCTCTTTTATCATTAATATACCTAGGTTCCTACCTAGATGCATCAGTGATCCATTGCTACTAGATATGAAAGCCCGTTAAGCGAACGCTTCTTCCATTCCGTCCTGACCATTTGGACCATTTAATTATGGCGACTTTGCTGAAGTATTGCGGTACTCCAACTAATGTCGTGCATTTCCGTAACGCTGCGGTGCTCACCTCCTCTGGAGTATATTCCACTTTTCTCATATTTAAATTAAAATAGAGGCGCAAAATGCCACTCCTTACGGGACCAGAACGTGAACAGATGCTTCCTCCTTTACTAAACATCCACCATTGGGAGTTGTGCCAACATGGTTCTAGAGAGGCCATACGACGCTCTTTTATGTTTAAAAACTTTGATGCAGCATTCGACTTCATGAAAAAAATAGCGGACAAATCCAAAATTATGAATCACCACCCTGAATGGTTCAATGTGTATAATAAGGTATGTCACTTGTCAGTATCAGTAGATTCTCCAATATAAGTTCCATTTTTAAAAAATCTATGTCATGTTGAGTAACAACTTCAATGAGGTATGTCCATCTACGGTAGCCCTACAGAACGGTAGTTTATATGGCATGGTCTGAGATTCATCAAAGCTCCCAACATTTATAAGATTTAGATTTAGGGAACTAAATTATGGTGAAAAAGCGATCAAATTTCAGATAAGCTACTGGTATTTGTACGCAAAATTCACTTGTACTTTTGACTACTTGTAGTCCTTGTACTAAGGCTGGTGTCAGTTTATAATGAAAATGTTTCAACTGTTTTGTTTTATCGATTCGGTATTGTTTAACATACATAATTCCCGTGTGACATCATGTAATCTGGACTAACTGTATAAAATCACATAAGATTACTCCAATCATAATATGGTAGTACTTGATATAAATATCAAAAGTGCCGAATGCAAATTTGAGCCACCTATGATTGATTCTAAACTAAATTTGCGATCTTGGCATAATATCATATAGCAGGGAGCAGACTACTTCATCCAAATTTTAATCAAACAAGTGTGCCTAAATATCGTTGGTATAATCTGCTCAGTCCTAATATCAAGTTTCCCTATAACTATCAAAATAATGTTCAAAGAATATCAATGTTACTCAGGATTTGAACACTCCGATTCTGAGTTGTTTTTCACATTTAACAACTATTTCTTACCTAGTATCGTATATGTTTTTTTGTTGAACGCCTTGAGAAAGTTTAATCATGACTTTACAATCGCAACTACATGCTTTTTGCGTTTTGTCTATCATTTGCACATCTGATAGTCATGTAACTTAACTACATTTTTGTGCACTATAGGGGCTAATGAATATTCCAGATTGTCTAGTTAGATGTGGCCAGGCTTGAAACTACAATTTATCAGTTGGAAGAGAAGTGCCTTAACTATTCTTTCAGGCAGTGTACCAGGCATGTTGATAAACAATTATAAAGTAATCTATTCGCTTAACCTACCTACCTACCGAAGAGGAACTCTCAATGACTAGTATAAATGAGCTTTTTAGCTCTGCTTTAGCTTTCTATTCCGTTTTGCATATACTTTATGGTTGTGAAGGTTGGTCTTTTAAATAGGGTATCCGTATGTTACAATTACTCGATCATAATACATACCTAAGGATTACTCTTGTATGTTGGAACTATTAAGTTAGCAACTGTGATTATTAGGTATGAGTGGCAAATCAGTTAGCGGAGTACTGAGTCTTTACCAACTGAGATGATTGGGACATGTTTTCAGCATGCATATCTACCGCCCACACCAAAGCGCGATAATGGCTGGTGTAGAAGTAGGTTGGAAATAGCTAGGAGCAGTCAAGCTAAAAAAAAAATGGCACCAGTCTATGAAGTCAACTAACATTGTACTGAACCATGTATATAAATGCAAAGTAGCTAGTTTGTGTCCAAATGTCTATCACAGGCGGCGGTCAGAGACCTTAGACAACATTGTTCAGAATCGCTCGCAATGGGAAAGTAAACTCACTTTGTCTTCCCTTAGATCTTAAATTTTAAACTACCTAGTCAACCTTTTTACTACATGAATCCGTATTTTGTATGCCCAACCTTTTCTGTTACCAATTATACTTTGACTATCTCTACTATTCTGGAATTCACGTCGAAAATTTCATCACGTCTTGCTAAGGAGGTATTTCTACGTAAACTGGATATATATGTACTGGGTTTTACCTTGCCTATGACTGGATGGTTTCACTGATATCGGTGTCCCACTACCTTCGGCATTATTTGCCGACGTTGGAACTGGTTGGAAAAAGCGGAGAGGTGGTCAGTGTATGACATGGTGTCGTGGTATGAAAGAAAGCTGCAAAGGGCTGGCCTGTGTTGGTCCTTCACGACTCCCTGGCTGGAGTCCGAGAGATGGTGCAACACAGTGGCTAGAGACGTTATCAGATATGGCTCAGAATAGGAGCCAGTGGCGATCATGCTGTAACCTTTTACTTTCTTCATAAAAAGTGGTTGTTTCTTCCTTAACTGGATGATTTCTTCTGATTGTTCCTTTCCGTTTCCCCATTATCACTATTATTATTATTTTTATTACTATTATACTATCTTACACTAATCTGTTCGTTATTGTCCTTTGTTCTTTTTACGCTCCTTACCTTCTTTTTTTCTCCTGGAATTCTCATTGTTTTGTGTGGCGCATATATATTTGGTGCCTTATTGTACCAATATTTATGTGTTCAAATATATAAATAAATAGAAGCAAAAGAGTTGAAAGAGAAAGCATCGACAAGTAGCTCTAGATAGTTGTTTAGATCGACCACAGTCAAACGTTACACACTAATCAGTCAGGCAATGTCGTGAAAAGTCATATTAGTGAGCCACTGTCAAACCAAAGACTGGAACAATCGTTAGATCGTTTTAAAAAGAATGATCGACGTTAATCTACTTTTTATTACCCAATTGCTCAATGTAACATTAGAATTAACCCTTTCGGTCTTGGTAAAAATTTAAAAATGATAACTAACTTTAACTTAGTTAACCCAATGGTTTTTACGGGTTAACCCTAGAAGACTTCAAAGATAATTGTCCAGTGTTATCAATTAAATTGAATAAGATATTAATCGATCTTACAGCTGAATATAATTCTCTCATACTAGTCTTAATCATCGGGAAATAGTTGACTGTAGTTTATTTTTTACACCGTTAGGTCATGTTTGTTCTGCATGGATGAAACAATGGTCAATGTACTTTGCCTTATTATTTACAAATAAAAATAAAAGTTGAGCTAAGAAATGTTTTTTTCTCAATTAGTTCTTCATCAAGGTTCTACATTATTATAAGTTGGCTTTATGATTAAGTTTGAAAGCAATATCGGAATATATGGTAGTGAATCAGTTTAACAATATAGTAACCAGTTTTTAACACAACAGATGGAAAATTAGAAGTTAATTGACATTAGTAGTCGGCTAATCATTAATTCTAGTTACATATGAGTAAGAATCTTCTTTAAAACTGAGTACCAATGTTTTGTGTTACCTGGGTGACATAGATAAGTAATTAATAAAATGTATGCAATGAAAATGAGATATTCTTCAGTGTGGGGTTGTGGAGATTGTTGGACTTAATTAAAATGAACCGACCTAAGTTGAACCACCATTAAAAGCTCGGAAGCTTCCAGGTACTAGGTAAAGATGGAAAATGAATTGATATAGTGGTGAGTCTTCAGCTGAAGTGGTTGTGGCATGTACTGCATGTACCTAGCCACTGCCTATCTCGATCGCTAATACTGTCTAGGGTAAGAGAAGGCTAGAAGAAAATTAGGGGCAGCCAATCCAAGACGTGACACCATTTCATGAAGTTATTGACAATCGGAATAAATCATCTTAATAGGTGTAGACTACTTTTTGGGGTCTGTGTGATTATCTCAACCAATGGTTAGAAGGTTTGAATGACATGGCTTAGAATCGTTCACTGTGGCACAGGTACACTTGTAGTGAAGGATTATGTTTAGCATAACACTACAGAGTTACTTGATAAAATAGAAAAACTATACTATAATACGGAATTTGGAAAATGATCAATAATTGTCTCGGACTTTATTGTTCTTGCATTACTATACTAGTTGCTTTCTATTCCCGTTGTTCCTTTCTTGATCTTCCCAATCTTCTGCCGCCAGACATTACATTCCTGACTCGCGTTATGTACTGCTTATGTCAATATAAGTAGTACGCACTACACACTCAGTTTATTTTTTAGAACTTGAGTCCTGAAATCTCTTTATACTTTATTCTATTTTTCTATACCTAATCTTTTCTACTACTCTGTGGTTTGTCTTAAAATAATTTTATCTCACTATACTAATGTGGCATGACAACTTTGAACTGACACACATGTATCAGGTTCTACATTGCGTTTATTCATTATGATGACCTATCTGCCCAAACTGAAATAGGAAAAATGTAACTAGAATTTAAATTTTGGTTAGTGAATTTAGACTCTTATGCTCATTAACTCACTATTTCTTTCAAATAAGTAGGTAACTAGGTATATTTTTAGTGTTTAGTTATTGATCTGAGTCAACAGGTCCGTCGAAACCTTTTCTTTTTGTTGTTGTTGTTGTTGTAAAACATGTATATCTTATTTTAAGCCAATTATTTGTCTGAAACTTTTTAAAACAGATTATTTTCTATCTCACTGGTTGAAATCATGAGTCAATTGAAGCTAGACCACTATGGAAAACCTGGAGGCACTGGACGGCCGTTTCGTCCTAGTATGGGACTCCTCAACAGTGTGCATCCACGATCCCGCACCCCGCGAGATTCGAACCCGGGGCCTGTCAGTCTCGCACCAGACGCTCAACCAACCAGACCACTGAGCCGGCATCCAACGGTGTTAATGTCTAACTTCAACCAATCCACGAAGTTGCGCCACCGTACAGATGAGACTGATAGGTCCTGGGTTCGAATCTCGCGGGGTGCGGGATCGTGGATGCGCACTGCTGAGGAGTCCCACAATAGGACGAAACGGCCGTCCAGTGCTTCTAGGTTTTCCATAGTGGTCTAGCTTCAATTAACTTATGATTTCAACCAGTGAATTTTCTAAAAATCTCTACAAAACCCATTCTGATATTTTCTATTTACCAATTGTCATTTAGTCCCATGTAATATAACTACTAGCTAAAAACAATCTGTTTTTATAAAGTAAAAAAATAATAGTCATGATTGATTAAGACTTGTAAGACGAATTCATACAATACAAAATGTCGTCATAGTAATATTAATGTATAATTTCTTTTCTATTCTTTTCACAAATCATGTGTTAATTCTTCCATGTTGTCGTTGTACATGACACTTACTTTTGTAAGTTATGCAACTTAGTGAAACAGATGCATATATTACTCTTTTTTTTCTTTTTAAAATAAGAAACTAATCTAAAACGATAATTTATGTATAAATCAGTGTATTGAAATCATTCATTATACTTGTTATGTCAATATGAAATAACCTATTATTCAAATGTGTATTTAGATTACAAAATCATCTCTTGTTATTATTTTTCAAATGTTAAGTTCTGATCCTTTTCATTGTAGTTTAGAATTAAATATAAAGTTAATTAGTTGCTTATCAGTTGTAGATAAAGCTTTTAATTATAAAATTTTTAGATCTGAACCATTTGACCAATTCGGATGGTATCCGCATAAAAAAAATGCAATACGAAGTTGAATACACAAACTTGTAGTTGGTGATTGAGTCACACTATCTAGAATTAAAACAAATATTTGATTTAAATTCACTTGGTATTGTTTTACTTGTACCTTCCCATTGTTATTTAGGACTGCAATTGACCAGTCTCTTATTGGCATATGTGCATCCTGTGTGGATCGCCTCGATATAGCCTTAAGTCACAAGCTTTTTAAGCAAATATGGATAGTGGCTAGTAGTGGAATCCAGTTTGACGCGCGTTTCATCCCATTCGGGACTAGTCGTCTGCATGTAAGTGCATCCCAGAGTTGCTTAAAATGCTTGTAACTTAAGGCTATATCGGGGCAATCCGCACAGGATGCACATATGCCAATAAGAGACTGGTCGATTGCAGTCCTAAATAACAATGGGAAGGTACAAGTAAAACAACAGCACCAAGTGAATTTAAACGTTACCCAATTGCACAAGCAGGCTATCAGGACTCATTAGCTAAGTGGATAACGCGATGGTGTTTAAAGCGAACGGTACTGGGTTCGAGTCCCAGAGTGAATATCAACTCAGATTCGGGTACATCCATCTGACGAGTCCTAAACAGAATGAAACGTTTGTCCTGGATTCCACTGCTAGCCACTATCCATATTTGCTTAAAAATATTTGGTTTTCCTAGAATTTCATGAACTACGTATGATGAGATCATGCCAACCCTATAAATTTCGATGCTCTTGTGAAGTTGGCAGTTGTCAAAAATAACACTGCAAGGTTTACACTACTTAATATACAACGATTTATTACGTCGATAGTCGTTCTTGATTGTTGCGGCATCATGTAAATAAATCACTCTATACTGTTAGCTATAAGTCGACAGTTCTTGTTCTTATCATGACTTTATTGAATTTTACTATCAAGTTATCGTTTTATATTCAGTAGGTATTATTTACTGAATATTCTGAATTATTGGTGATCGGTTATTTTTTAAAATCTTCATGGATTATCATCTAGCCGTTTCAGATGGACTGGCGCTAACATACTATCCAGTCATGCAGTTAGATTTGATCCTAACTTCCTGCTTTTAGTCGCTAATTTTTCTAATTTGCAAGGAAGTGATAATCACAGAAAACTTAGTTTGATCAGTAACTCTTGAATCTCATAATCACTCATCGCTTAACTAGATTTCTGCAAAAGTAAGCCTGGAAAGATTAAACAGTCTTCAATCCTTAACGTTTATGTACCAATCAAATATTTACTTTTCACTCATTTTCAAAACAACCATACCTATACTCGTCTGACTGTGTCGTCAATGTCGAAACAGCTTTTCATGTACTCCATTATACCAGACACTTATTCGAACATTATTGATCCGTCAGAGGTCTCCAGGGGGCTGTTATTTAAGTAGTCTACACGTAATTGTTCTGACCATGCCTACATGCTCTCCTCAATTTAAATTTGTCTTGACTGCCTTAGAAGGTAATTCTCCGTCTTATTTTTTGGATATTGACGACCTTAATCGAGAGTTACTAACATAGATTATACAAATGACGTAGTTTTAATTTGTGAAGGTTCTGGCAAAACAGTCTTGTGAATGGTTTGAATGACATTCTGAAATGCTCCACCTGGACTGATATGTATCAAGTTTTGACCGATTACATTAATCTGGACACACAAACAACCCTGACTGTTAATAGTCAACAATATTGCTATATGAATGTAAAAATTGAGCTTAAATTTTACTATGGTGGAGATTTGTAGCTCAGGTGGATGATTTTAATGGAGTTTTGTTCCCTGAGCTGGATGGTTTGGTCGTGGAGCTTCCATCGTTATTCTGAACGACATCATCAGCACAAACTTCAGATAAAAGTGAAGTGTTCGGATTTTTCCACATATGGCTTACAGCTTGTCCTGTAAACCTCGATATCCTTGTTGACCTTGAACTTGTCATTGTTTACTTCTTTAGTTTGATTACATCTCCAGTTGGTTTGATTTTTGGTCCCATATTTGTCCAAAATTTTCCTGATTGGTTAATAAATTGAATTGATTTCAATGTGTTTGTTGATTGCTGAAAGCTACTAAAGCTACTAAAAGTTTTCTGGTGATTTTAGAATTGCATCTATCCAAGATCTCAACATTTTCCCAGTTGATTGTATGTCCACATGCATTGATATAAGTGAGGATATATCATGGTGTTTGATCGCTGATTGATGTTCATGTACGAGAAGATGAATAGCGCGACCGCTTTACTACCTTGCACCAATTGTGTTATAGGTAGGATATCCATCTGTCTACCAAAAAAGTGTGAACATACTTTATAACCTTGTATAATCTCAACATCATTCTTTTTTTATTGAGTATGACTAACAAGTTAATATACCATAAATTTTTTTTTCAAACTTATAGGTGGATATACTACTCACTTCACATGATGCAGGAGGTCTTTCACGACGAGATATTGATCTTGCCAATTTCATCAATGATGCAGCGTTTGAATACCAAGCAAAATAAACAATTTGTTAATGTTGATCATTTATGTGTGTTTATAATCTTTTTTGTTTGTTGAATAGATTGTATTTTCTTTCAATGGAGCATATATATTGGAGTCTCTGACTTTCTTTATCTTGAAATAATCTCTAAATGAATGCACACTTAAACACCGAGTGTAACAGGTTGAGTGTATTATTTAAACATCATAGATCAATTAAGGCTTGAATATTACATCAGTTCTTTTTAATTACTACCTTTAAACAAGTGTGTCTAACTTCACAGTACATAATCATTTCGTGTTTCTCCATAATACTAACACTAACGACTACCTTTTCAATATCTATTCCGTTAATAATTCGAAATAACTATCTACTATTACTGATCGTCTCTCCTTTGTCCAACGCATTATCATTGCTACCATATCATTTCGATTATTTTGTTATTTATGTTAATTTCACAATATTGTGTTAATATGGTATAAAAAGTTGGATCGATGTATTATTTTTACCAGGCTCTACATTGATTACGATTAACGGATAGCTTAGTAGAATCATGGACAATCGTGACAGTCAATCTCGTAGTCTTTATATGTTTTTCAGTTGATTGGTTTTAGTCTCTGTTTCAAAATCGTGCCATTTGATTCTAAATGATAAGGTAGCGGGGTATGAAATCCTTTTCGAAACAAAATCAAGACGGGGTTTAGATACCAAATAACTATTACACCGATTCATAAATTTTAAATATCAATTTAATGTTATGATCATTAGTCTCATATCCAGGTAGGATTCCAATAGACTAACTTGCCGAAAATATTCACCTATAAACGTGAAATGAACTTTGTCAGTGAACAACATTTTTGACAAGTTGATAATGGTGCTATGAATAGTTTTTCAGCCTATCTTAGCTCATGTTTATGCATCACATGTTGGAAGTAGGACAGGTGATCTCATTAACAAGGTAATATTGTAAAAGAGGTACGTTGATGACATCTTCACCATTTGTGATAAGGAGTTCAGTGTTGCTATATTAATAGATAGACTCAATTACGTGCAACATGATATCGTACTAACTTTTGAGGAGTAAAGCAACATTCAGATGTCTTACGCATACGTTTGAGTCCAAACGTTGATTGACAACAACATGTGTACAAGAATCAGCCAAATGTGGCTGTGAGTGTGGAAGGTAATAATTGATAGACAGGGCATAATTCGAGAATGGTAAATCATATAATTAAAGTTCATAGGTCAAAATAAAGCTAATAATAAGAGGGATATGAATATTTATAGTTTAGTTATTTAACAATTATACGATAAAAATATACGTATAGTATTGGTCGATAAGTTGTTCTTAAAAGTTACAATTCAATATCAGAAGGGATTTTTGTAGGTATGATAATCATTTCAATAGTTGAGATCATGAGTTAATTGAAGCTACATCACCATGAAAACCTGGAAGTACTGGATGGTTGTTTTGTACTATTGTGGGAATCCTTAGCAGTGCGCATCCACGATCCCAGTCGAGGGGTTCGAACCCAGGGCCTTCGCGCGCGCGAAGGAAAACCTGGAAACACTAAACGGGTTCGTGGATGTGCACTGTCGACGAGTCCCACAATAGTACGAAACAGTCATCCAGTCCTTTCAAGGTGATCTAGTCTCAATTAACTCATGATCTCAACTATTGAAATGATTATAATATCTACAAAAATCCCTTTTGATATTACTTTTAAATTTAGATAAATATAAGATAGAGAAATACCATATTAGTAGTGTGTTTAGAACATGCTATAAAAATATTCTACATGTGATCTATAATGATAAAAATCAAAATGTTTCAATCTGTCAACTGTATAACTTTTTTTGTTGTTGATATTTTGAGTTGATAATTCACACACCCACACATAAATCAATCAGTTTCCATCATAGTTCTGCTTTGTTTATGATAAACTGGTAAGAAACAAATCATTTTTCTCATTGAATATTAGGTGATGAACTAGAATAGAAATATGATTAAGCGTGTTAGTGATTGCACTGCAGATAATTACCTGATATATGCAGAAACTTGTACCTTCAAATTATGAATTAGTGCATTTAAAAACTAGTTAATTGGAGTATACAATCTTCTTCCTTATGTAATATAATTAAATAATTAAAAAGCTTAAGTAAGTATCATCAAAATAGTAGGTGATGATAGTGAAGGGTAGATAGGCGAATGTAGTGAAGTCAGTAGTTGCTACGTTGAACCTGGTACGTATATCTGTATGTATATCGGTTCAGGCTGTCACAACCATCAATACAGAGAAATGAAATTGTTCGAGAGAATCCCAGAGTAATAGATGTAGTGACAGTATTGTTAGTTACAATAATCATGCGGACTCTAACCAGATAGTCTACACCTGTTAACATGTATCAGTCCACTTATCACTGATTTCATCGACTGATGATGTCGTATTTTGGTATAATCACCCCTAGCTTTCTTCCAGCCTGATTCCGCACCATAAAACATCGCACGTTGAGGTAGATGGTGGTTGGGCATATGTAACGCATGCCCTAATCTCCTCAATTGATGAAGATTTGCTAATACTTCATCAATCGATTTCTTTTCTTTGCCTCATTCCCTACTCAGTTGTATCACAGAATACACGAGCAATGCCTCGTAGATACCTATGACCGATTACTAGCAACCTACGAGTATCATTTACTCTTAATGGCTGTTTCACTGCTGCGCAGTAATCTTGTCCCTTGTTCGGGCTATGGATATCTCGCATACACCGCAAATGACTCACGTTGGCATGGTACGATCTAAAGGAATATATATTTTGGCCGATTTAGTTCAGTTGAGTCATCAAATAAACAAGCTCGACCACCACGTCAAAGTAGGAGCTACGTTCGGGAAAGTAGTCAAAAGCCACTTCTGATTTTCAAGTTTTATCAGTGCGTAAGTCTTTGATGTATTGGTGTCATGTGGTGATATGAATAATGTTGGCAGTAAGTGTTGAATTTTTTACTAGGAAAATAAGACAGTCGGTCAGGTCGGACTATACATTCCACATCTCAAAACGTTAGCTTATCCGGGATCGGAAAGGGCTACAGGTAACTGGACGAAGTTAGAACTAACAAAACGTTCTATGATGATGTTAGTTTGTACGGTAGCTTCTTTCTCCTAATTTTGGTCCTCAATATACCAGAGGTGGATGCTTGAAGATACTAGGTATATGAATCTCAGTGATTCCAGATGTTCCTGTAAATATAGTTTTTCATCAGCGATTCATTCAGCTACAACGTAGGACCAGGCACATATATGCATCGGTCGAAGTTGCTACATCTCATTAGTACAACAAGATGAACACCAAATTCATAGAAATAGTTACTTCAATGATAGTCATATTATAAAAGAATGCGTATAATGATATAATAGAGGGAAAAAATTAGTTGGTAGAAAGAAAGATATGAAGCGATTTTAATCTCTTAGTTTCAGGGAAGACAGAGAGTGTATACACCGACGCCATTGTGATCGATTCTAAGCCACATCACCCAAGGTCTCAAACCATTTGTTACGATAGTCACGCGGACCCCAACCAAGTAGTCTGCATCTAGTGGATTTGTGGACTGATGCCACGTTTTGGTTTGGCCACCCCTAACATTCTTCCAACCGTCTACAACGCTAGTTAGCATTGCGCGTCGTGGTAATCGGTGGTTGGACATGCATCGATGAAGATTCACAACCTCATCAACTGATTTACCATCATTTCCTAATACCCTGAGTCTAACCTCACTATTACTTACCCGGTGATCCCAGCAGATGAGAGCAATATTTCTAAGGCATCTGTGGTCAAATACTAGTAGCTTACGTGTCTTCTACTCTTAAAGGCCATGTTTCGCTGCCGTAAAGTAAAACAGAACGAACTGCGCGCAGTATACTCTTCCTTTTATTGATAGACGGATATCTCGCCTTCGCCATAGGTGACGTAAGTTGGCAAAAGCCAGACAGGGTTTTTGAATTCGTGCTGAGGGCTGATCAGACTTCCAAGATAAGTGAAGTTGTCGACGCGTTCGACTACTTCACTCCCTATCCTTAGTTCAGGTGTTGACACGGACCAGTCCTAAAGCAACGATTTGCATTTAGAGGGGAAGAAACGCATCGCAAATATCCTGACATTGTTCCTCAGTGCTACCAGAATACTCTGCATTTTATCAGCATCTTCACCAAACAGGACTTTGCTGTTTGCGTATTCTAAATCGACAAGTGAACCTCCTGGAAAGAGATCAATACCCGAGAATTCAGACGACGAGAATGTTATTTCAATCAGTAGGTCTATGATGAAATTGAACAGAAATGAAGATAGTGAACAACCTTGTCGAATATCATTTAAAGTTGTAAAATCAAATAACAATTCACCATAAACTTTAACTTAGACTAATGTAGTGCTTAATCGACAATAGAAATACACACAAAAACTATTCATCAATTTATGAAATGATTAATTGTATTAAAATTATTGCTTGAAAAAGAATGTTTTCCAAAAGAAAAAACAAAACTCACATCAAACAGACTACTATTACACTAACACTAATTACTCAATACAATGTGAATAGTGTCTTTAGAAGAAGAAGAAGAACAACAACAACAACAGTAACTTTAAAACGAACAGAAATTATGAAAAAAAAGAACACAAAGTATCAGTAATATCATCACAGTATATAATAACATACAAACAAATAATTAGAATACTACTTAATTAAGTAGGTATTATATATTCATCTACTAAATGAATACACTGAATCGCTCTAACCAGGAATGAAATTAGTAGATAGATATATATGTAAAGGAGAGAGGAGATTAGTGAAAGAAATCCACCAGAGAAAATCCTTAGAACCATCTCAAATTTCATGTGCAGTATTATAAGTGTATGACAATAACCATAAGAGAAGTTCAATGGATGAATAAAGAAATAATTGAATATATTGAAATATAAAAGTAGAAATGCTTTTGACAATGAAGAAACAATATAAATTCATAAAGTG